TCCGCCGGAAAAGAGTGTTATTTTGGTAGTGTTTATAAGACCAAAATATAAAATGTCATATCTAAAAGCGTTATATTAGATTCATATGATGCATTAGGCGTTTTAACAAGATAATTAAGATGCTTTTAAAATAAAATGTCATTTTAGTTATTTTATGTGACGCTTTTGAGAAATGTCCTATAAACCCATCTTTTTATAGGACAACTTGTGTTCACAATAAATTTTTTCAAATAGTGTCGCATAAAATAGTTAATACCACGCTTTATTTTAAAAACGTTATACGAAACTTATTAAAAGATTCAAAAGTGTCATACAGTTAGATAAAACGCTTTATGGTTTGATCATATATTAATTCCTGTAAAACACTGTATTTCGATACTTACATAATTTAAGCGTCATATAGATCCAATTTTGTTGTAGTGCTTAATTGCATATCATGGTTGTGACTACCACTGCTTAATGATACGTTGTTCCGAACTTTTCCACTGAAATAAGTAACGTGTCATGTCAAATGTCTACCACTTACAGAGATCATTTGGTTACCATGGTTATTTGTAGATACAAATGTCTCAAACTATGGCCCCCTTTCCTACCCCTATGTATTGTGACAATCGAAGTGATTGCTCACAACTCAATTTCCCCTGAATGCACCAAATATATCGACATAGACTGTCAATTTATATGTCACCATCTTAAATTTGGCACGATTACTTACCTTTTGCTCCCTCTTCTTTGCAGCTTAAACTTTCTGGTACTGTCATATATGGTTTTTCTAGTAAGCAAACTTTTAATGCCTTTTATTTTGAAGTTTTTCCATCTGTTACTGAAATACAGTATCCGAAAAACGAGCCTGAGAGTTGTTATATGTTTGATAAATCTTATTTGAGATGATGGCTTAAGGTTCAAGCTTTCAACACCATTTTTTGGTCTCAAAATCCATTTAAGTTGTGGGTTTTTAAAACCTCACAGATGACAGAGGTAAAATCTGCGTACAGTTTATCCTTTCAAAACCTTACTCATGTGGGATTCACTGGTTTGGGTTGGCTCTGGTTCGAGCAAAGGATGGACCTACAAAAAGGAATTTGGTGGCACGAACCACCACTTCATAAAGAATTTACGTTTCTAAAGGGTACGGGAGCCATCGTAGTCTCGTTGGATGCCCATATCTTTTTTGAAACTAAATTAAAGGCAGAAGTTTGTGACGGAAGAGATTATTAACATTGTTGCACGTATACTTAGGTTCGAGATTGTAAACTAATGATCTAACGGTCTAAAGTTGTATGGTGAAAATTTTGTGATTATTGAGAAATCTTGTGGCAATTTTGTGATTATGAATGTTCAGATTGTAGCTTTAATCCAAGATTTGAGAATTGATCTTACGGGTCTCACCAAAAACATTTATTCTCACATGATCCCAAATATATATATACTATGTATATACACACACACACGAGTTGTGATCAAGTCCTCAATATACACAAACAATCATCCATCGGTCATAATTCAATCACCTCCATTTTCAAGATCTTTCCCTCCCTTTCTGCAATAACTTTCTGAAACCCTAAACCCACCATCACTATAAAACCATCTTTCATGGCGGATCAAGCCAACTCGGTGTCTTCAACTCACGCATCTGACTCCAAACTTGATGCCAGTAAACCCACCAATAAAAGGACGAACTCGCCTGCCATGGCCACCATATCCAAAGACCTGCAACTTGATCATCAAACTGGTCCTCCGCCATGCAAACGCCCTCAAAGAGATAAACAACCGGCTAAAGAAGAAGAAGAAGACATGAAAGATACTGCCACCAGTAACCCTAAGACGATAGACGAAACAAAAGAAGACGACGAAAGTGTCGATCTCCCTGATCTCGATGTTTTGCAGGCAATTAATCGATTTCAAACACGAAACGGAGTCTACCCGTTTGAGAATTCGTCCGTCGCGCGAGACTTCTTGTCTCCTTGGATTCGTTTCGGGTTTGGAAAACAAAAACAATGGGAAACGAAAATCGAGCAGGTGAAGAACAAATTCAAGAAAGAGAATGGAAAAGGGGAGGAATTTGAGTTGTGGATGAACATTTGGGGAAAGAAAGCAAGTGGTGTTGACGATGGTGAAGGTGGGTGTTCTTGAGAAGATGATCATGTGTTTCTTGAAATGTTTCTTGAAATATTTCTTGAATTCAATTGTAGAACAAGAAAATACGTGTTTTTGTTTCAAATTTCAATCTATAATTCAAGTTCTGATAGCTATTGATTCAAACGAGTTCGGATAACATGTCAAAATAAGTTCAGATCGATTATCGAACATGTAATATTTTCGAAGAATTTAGACTGATTGATTAATTTTTTTTGATTAACTTGGATATCCAACCTGCTATGCGAGCCGGCTAATCCCAGAACGACCACCTGTTTTGTAGATAGTCCGAAGTCACCACATTTGAACCTCCATGGCCACAAGGGGATTTTTAATCATCTTTGGATTTGAACCTGAGACCTTCTGGTACTTTTGATCTTTGGAGCCAAGTTCAAACCAATCAGACATCACTCTTGTGGTTATTGATCAATATTTTTGTGTCTTCTTTTTGTTAATTTGATAGTACAGGATTATGATCGATTGTTAACATCAATATTCACCTTTTTTTCTCCCCTAAATTAATTAAATAACGTATGGTCTAAGGTAGAAGTATGCAGAAAATCAACCGATCTAATTGGAACCGATTGATTCAATTATAACCGGTTGGCAAAATCCAACATCTAACAGATGATTGGATCGGTTCGGTTTCCCTCGCATTCAATGGATGTCAATCGATGAACATGCCTAATTTAATCCATTTATTACCCAATCAAATTATGATTTTTCTATATGAAATCATATTTACAACGTAATATTTGATGTTTTAATATTGATTTATATCAATTTTGTGTATATTTAATTACAAATGATCCTTTAAATTTAATATTTATATAATTGTATTTATTTTCCATCGCAACTGATATTCTGGTTGATTATATATTATTTAATATTATATTATACATTAAATTTGCATTAATTTACGAGATAAAATAATTTTCATATTTATGTTTTAAATTACTTACAAACTATTTCAATATTTAAATGTATGTATATTTAATTTAAATGTGTGTTATAATACAATTTTATATTGGTTAAATTAATAAAAAATATTTTAATTAAAATAGTATAATATTATAATGTGTTATTGTACGAAAAAAAATTTATAAATCAAATTTATAAAAACTAATAAATATAAGAGTATCTTTGAAAATCTATATAAATTAAGAATAAGAAGTATATTCACAATATTCAATTTTATAATAAGAACTAATTGACTAAAAAGGTAACTTACTTTAACTTAATTTATATTTTGGGTAATGTTAGAATTTTCATTTTGATACCTAAGATATAAAGTTTTACATATTTAAATACCCAGGTAATTGGTTGAAAACTAATTTTAGATTAAAAAAAATATATGTCACTGACCATGTCAACAAATAATATTGAGTTGAATATCACATTACTCGCCACATCAGCATAATAACCGGTTAATGGTTCAACCGGTTACCCAGGTACTTAAATGTTTAAAACTTTACATCTTAGGTACCAAAATGAAAATTTTGAAAGTACGTTATCCATAATAGAAATCAAGTTAAAGTACGTTACTTTTTCATGTAATTTACCTTTATATCAAAAATATATTATTAAAGTATTTTCATATCAAAGTTTACATTATTTTATGCAAAAGAATAATGATCCAAACAATTGATTTTAGTGTATGTGGTAAAATAAAGCATGTTGAAAGTTATAACAGGTTGGATATTCAGATTAATAAAAAAATATTTAATATTATCAAATAAATTTCATTTATAATATTTTTACATTTTATATGAGTTATAAATATTTGATATGATTTGAAGCATATTTAAAGCCATTTGACCATCTCTCATTACGGTTGTTCATCGGCTGACATCTATTACATGTGAAGGGAACCGAACCGATCCAATCATTTATTAAATATTGGATTTTGCCAACCGATCCGATTAACATTGGATAACCGATCTAATCTAATCCAATGGATAATCGGATCAGTTTGGTTCCATCCATTGGATACTTTTAATGGATATCCAATGGATGATCTGTTGTGATTGGATCCAGAGTGTGTTAGTTCAATAAAATTCTTCAACAATGATACAAATTGATCAATCATTTTTAATATATGTTAAAATCAACATAAGAGAAGTTAAAAAATTCAAAACCTCGTAAAAAACAAATATTGCGTTTTAAACAATTTGAAAATAAATTAATTGGATGATAGTTTGATAATGGTTGCATGGACAATTGGATGTTGATCGATTCGGTTCGGTTCTGGACTGTCATTCGAGAACCGACCGACCATAATTAGATGTTAAATTTTTTAATCCGATCCAATTACAATTAGATATTTCAATTATGGTCATTTGATTCTAATTGGATCAGTCGATTCCAATTGATTTGGTTAAATTTTTCACACTCCCAAATCCCACCTATCATTTTTAATGAAAATTTCCAACAAAAATAATGGGAAATATAAAATATTGCATGCATGGATCGTTACAGGATCCGTGATATCTGCCGTTCATTAAAGTGGAAAATCAACGGTGTATATTCAAGATCCTTGCAGTCTGTTCTTATTGGTCCATTTGACCACCACGCAACCTATATAAAGCCAATCGATGATAGAGTTGAAAATTCACAACGCAGTCTCCTTCATTTTAACATCTCTCCAATCGATGGCCGGGAGAGGAAAATCCATCGGCGCTACAGCCGTGAGCAAGAAGTCAACGTCGCGTAGCAGCAAGGCGGGACTCCAGTTTCCCGTCGGTCGAATCGCTCGTTTCCTCAGAACTGGAAAGTACGCTGATCGTATCGGAGGCGGTGCGCCGGTGTATCTGGCTGCCGTGATGGAGTACCTTGCGGCGGAGGTATTGGAGTTAGCCGGAAACGCTGCCAGAGATAACAAGAAGACTCGAGTTGTGCCGCGTCATATACARTTGGCSGTGAGGAACGAYGAAGAACTGAGCAGATTGCTYGGWKCAGTKACGATTGCTAATGGCGGAGTGATGCCTAGCATTCACGCTCACCTGCTTCCTAAGAAATCTTCCATTGCCTCTTCCAAAGGTGATGATTAGGTTTCCGATTGCTTTACGATTGAAGCCCTAACTTACCGAATGACCGTAATTAGAATTTTTGATTGATTTCTCTGTTAGGTTTTTGTTTCGCATAGATTGTGAATGGAAGATCTGTGAAATTTTATGCAATTCCAATTCCAATTCATGTGTGATTTTGTATCTCGTGGCATCTCTCCCCTATCTCTGTGAAATGGAATCAGATATCAATTTGATGAAATTAATTGGGTGTTTAAACGTTTGCAGTGGTTTTTGTGACCTAATTTTCCTTGTTTATATGTGGCTTATCTTCACTGAGATCGTATGAAGGTCATGCTTACTGGTTTTTATGGCTTAGATTGATTAGATTAAAAATATTTGAATAATCTAACTTAAACCAAAGTGCAACCCAACTCAAACCGTACGGATTGATTGAGTTGATATTTTAGTATGTTACAATATTTTATGACTTGATTAAACATCGAGTTACTTTGATTTGAATTATTTCACCAGAGATCGTGAGCGCCTAATAGTATCGCTACTTATAGAGACCAATCGGGATCAAAGCTCACAACAAATCCAAGAGCAAGTATACATTAGTTCTGTTGTATATAAGAAAATAGAGTGAATTACACCGATTGTCCCTATATATTTCAATTTCATAACACTTGAGGTCTTTGGAGTATTCAAACAAACTACAATGACCAAAAGTGTAATTCATAGATATTCCTGATTATAAATATTTTATGTATGATTAACCAAAAATAACATATTTTCATTTTTATATCAATTTAATTGTAGCAGCTTATTCATAATTATTTTATAATTCAATTTAATAATGTCTAATAATATTTTAATTTTTAAAACATAATTATTTTTTATAATAGAAAATTTATTTATTCTAACAAACAAATTTTAATACATAATCCATGTTAACCGTTCTTAAAATATTGTTGATGAAAAATTTCTTTTACATAAATATGGGAATCATAGTTAATTTTAGAGTGAATCGCAGTTTTGATAAATATAGTTTATTTAAAAACTAATTTAGAATTCCTAACCGACAGTGTTAGACTCTACAAACTTCAAATGTTACAAAATTGAAAGTAACAAACAATCACTAGAGTTAAGGGGTTGTTCGGTTCGTTTACCATTAAGACCCGTATGGATATAGTTGTCTGTATGATAATAGATAAGTTGTTGTTCGGTTGTTATGTTGAATAAACAGTTTAAATGTCAGAAATGACTATTTTACCCTTAACGTGTGTATTTTGTTTCATTAAACTCATCTCCTTCACTTGGAAATATATGTACCTTCTAACCACAGAATCTCAATAATTTTATACCATTACTGCTAAAAACCCACAAACAACTCCAAAATATATTCTTACAACAGTTATCTGAATTGCAGCTGGGGGAAGCATGAGATCAGATCTGCCATCGTGGTGGTCTCCATCAACATTCTACATCTTATCCTCCGACAATGGCGCCACCCTTTTCGGATATGAAACCATCGGTGATGGTTGAATTATGAGTGACGGTTAGTATTTATACACCACTTAATAAGTTGTTAATATTACAATCATTGAGAATCTTACAAGGTAAGGGCGCATTTTAGTACACTGAACAAAGATCACTGTTTTGTGTTTGACGTCACTTTTATATTGAATAGACCGAAACAGAGTGAAACAAAACGGAACAGACGCGTGGAAACAAGGTGGAACGAACCAATGTTTTACCAATATACTGTCAAATAAACTTAATTCTCTTCTAAAATATCAAATACGTCTTCCTCTTTACATTTTATCTATTCTTTAATTGTATCGACGAAAACATCTAATGATATATTTTGTTATAAAAATATTTATTTCATTATGATTTAATAAGTTACATAGATTAATCAAGATATAGAAAAAGATATAATATAAATAATTTGTTAGAGGTAAATTGGTTATTTTACTAGTCATGTCTTACCAAACGCTGATATAACAAGAACCAATAATTTTATTTTGTAGGTGAGAGAGAATGCTTTTACGTGGAAGTGTTTATCAGGTAAAAGATAATTACACGCAATTTATTTTGACGACAGAAAATATTACCTGAGAAGATAAAGAAGAGTGATAACATTTGATGGTAAGCGTTTACCCGGTAAGGTTTAATATACTAAAGTTTCAAATGTTTGCAAAAGTTGATTTTCAATTTCTAATTATTGATTTATCGAAATATTCAGACCTGGTTTGAACATTTAAAAAATTTACAATAACGTTTATTATTGAGATGAATATAAAATTACAAGAGCGATGAAATGTAAACCATCCATCAATTTCATTGTTTAATCTTATAAAATTTTTTCACTAAATTGTTTCATATAGTACTTTTTTTTTGATAATTTAGTTCATATATATGGTTATGAAATTGTTTTATATAATACTTATGAAACCGTTTTATATATTTCTCTAGAATTAATATAATGAAGACGATATCTATGATTAGCATCCTCCACAATAAAATTGATTAATCAACATCTCATAATTACAAAAAAAATGAACAAAAAGAAAAATTATGATTGATTGAATGAGGTTTGTATGGTTTATACGAATAACGTGGTTTGCAAAATATAAAACCTCCTCTACAATACAGACAATTACAAATGATCGGGAGTAGTCATCGCACGTGAACCTCAATGACTACAAGGGTTTTGGTAGAAATTTCATTAAAATCATATTAAACTGATTCTCTAAATTGTAGATTTTAGAAATTTTTGCTACAACATATTTTTCAAAACTTTCTACAAAATGGAAAACCAAAATTCAAAATCTCTAAAAAAATTGGATTCATCTTCAACAGATTCTTATTTTGAAAATTATATCATTAATTATATTATTAAAATAATTGATGCTTTTAATTAAAATTTATATTATGGGTTCCAAAATTCAAAGAAAGATGATGAGACGGTGGCCGGAGGTCCTTCTGAACCTCGCCACTCCGCCTTCCCCGATCAATGTCAACACCTATCTCCGGCCACCACAGACGGCAGATGGAGAATTCCGGTTCAAATGAAAGATGATTGAGTAGGGTTTTGTTATCAACAAGAAAGATCGATTCTCTTCTTATTCAATTCTGTAGAAACTTCATTTACAAAACTAAACCATACCTTCGTCTTCTACCGAAGAATTCAAGAAATCATTACGAACCCACGCTTGGATCATGTTCATCACCACCTTCCTCAATCGCCCAAATCTGCTTCCATATTTCGAATTCCTTGCGTTCTCCATCCTCCATCGGAACACTCTCTTTCGTAAACTTCGTCCTCACGTGTTCCAGTTTCATCCTCCATCCAGCTTCGTTTCCGATAGACATAATCAGCCATGGCATGATGAAGGTTTTCATGGCGGTCGGATTTTCAAACGGGAATACACCATTCGCGGAGCGAAATTCAAGAATTCCCTCCAACACATCAATGTCGTCAAGCTCGACATTTTCTACGATCWCCTTCCCTTTGCTGGTGGCGGCATCTTCAATGTCAGCGGTGTTGGTGGTGGAGGGTGAACCTCTGTTAGGGCGTTTGTTTGTCGGAGAAGCAGCGGCGGTGGTGTCCTTCCGCTTGTTGGGTGATTCTGCGGCGGCAGGAGTGGGAGGTTTTGGGTCAGGTGGGGAGTGAAATGGGTCCGCCATGGGAGATCAAATTGGGGATTGTTGCAGAGAGAATGTGTGTGGAGAAGATGATGGAGGGAAATGGTTGAGAAAGTGGTTGATTGAAGTATGAATGACAAACTCGGGCTTTTGAAAGTTGTTGGGGTTAAGGGGCACTTCGTAACCGATTTTATTTGAATTTGAATGTGTGACAGATACAACTTATATATATATATACATACACACACATAGGGGCTTAATCAAATGAGAACTGAATTGTTTGTGGTAACTGTGAGAACCAATCTCAACCACAT